ACATAGTTCACACTAGTCCTTAATTTGTTTATATCTCCTCAAATATACATGGTGATAAAATAGAAGAAAATCACAATAAATGCTGTGTGGGTGCTTTGTCAAACCAACAATACAATAGAAATAAGCAGCATATTGACAGCCATCGTGAAACAGTTCCCTCATGATAGACAGCCAAAAAAATAAATACAAAATCAATAAAGTGGTAGCACCATGTTACAGATGATGTTTAAAAGTGTAATTGTATAGCACAGTTCATATACAAGACAACTCAAAGAGATAAACAAAACAAGATAGAAACAATTACATAAGGCCTTCAAATCAGAAATAATCACAGTACATTAAAACGAGTGATGATAAAATCCTGGAGTTGTTTCCACAGTTAAAGCGAACCTGGTTTTTAACCCGGATTTGAACTTTGTCAGAGTAATAGCCTGTCTCACATTTTTAAGAATACTGTTCCAGACATTAACTGCATAGATCTGAAACACTGCCTTCCCATGTTTAATCCTGACTCTGGGAACCAGCAGAAGGCCAGTCCCTGTGATCTTCACAAAAATTGGATTATAAAACCTATTTTACATTTCCTAATTATTGTTGATTTTGTTCAAGTTAGAAATAATAATTCAAATTCCACTCTCAGAGTCAAAATGAACTATTATGTATTATTGTTTTACTGCATATGCTCCATACCTAACAACTTTAAATGAACTTTTTAGTTTTTTAAGTCATAGGACAAAAGTGAGGTAAAGGATCTCATATTTACTTTGCATGGCGCAAAGGATGATGGCACCATGGCAAGATCTCTGGTGTGCACAATCCTGGTGCGCACTGGGTAAGTCTTGCACAGTTATTTTAATGGGGTCTTTCTGCAAATGTTAAATAAACCGAATCTTGAATCATTGGTTTATCAAGCATGATTCTGAGGACTATAATACATAACCTTACCAACTATTCTTAAAGAGTATGTTTATCAAATGAAATACAAATATTGGGACAAATAATGTCTGTTTAAGGACCAATAACATTGACATGCGATATAAAGGATTGCAAAACATGTTTCAAATTTAGTCATATGGGTGGACTCCCACTAAAGAAATAATTTTGAAATCTAACTACTGTTTTAAAATTAGTAGAACAATTGCTAATTTGATAAATTCAGAATCTAACCAATTTAGCTTTATGACAGAACACAGATCTGGAAATGAATGCTGCAATGGTAATGGAGGTAGTGCTGCTTAATAAAATGAAAGCTTAAAAAGGTATTTTTATGAGCAGTCTCTTTCATCAAAGAGAGCAGAGGCCCATTATCATCACTGGATTATTTGTTGCTGTCATTCTGCCGCATTGCCTACTTAAGGCAGAAGCTGTAAAGAAGAGCTATGGTCTCTAAAGCAGGAGATATGGAGAAACCAGGGGCTCACGTAACAAATGAGAAGCTCAGTCTACACTTATTTATGGCTACTTAAAGCTGTCCGGTTGAGGTGATGAAGAGTGACAGCTTGATTAGAAATAGTAAGATCACCTGAAGATGTCCGAAATCTCCGAAATGTCTAATATCAACATGAGAATATTTTAAATACTTATGAGGATTTGAGGATTCATAAAATGGTTCAGTATATTGGAGTTTAACCGGGTGCTACGTAGTACGAGAGAAAGGTATTTTTCTGAAATGATTGAAGGCTGCAGCAACAATCTGCGTGTCCTGTTCTCAACAGTTAATAGATTAACAAACCCCCCTGTTCAGATGCCATTAGAGCTAACTTCCAAACGTAAATGCAATGAGTTTGAAAATGTTTTCAGTGACAAGGTTCAAGGCATCAAAAACGCCATTGTCTCCAATCCACAGATAACCATCCAACAGCCAGAAAGGCTCTCTGAGCTAACTCACTTTGCACCTGTAGATGGTAAAACTGTCCAAGAGATAATCTCCAGTCTGAGCTCTTCCACATGCAGCCTGGATGTACTACCCACTAGATTTCTGAAGTCTGTTCTGAGCAGTCTGTTACCTTCACTCACACAGATAGTAAACATGTCCCTTCATTCTGGAATATTCCCAAAGGCCCTGAAAACTGCAGTCATCAGGCCCCTGCTAAAAAAGAGCAGTCTGGATGCTACGGTACTTAACAACTATCGTCCCATCTCAAATCTGCCATTTATGGGGAAAATCTTTGAAAAAGTTGTCTACCAACAGCTCACTAGATTTCTTATAATCAACAACTCATTTGACATGTTTCAGTCCGGCTTTAGACCCCACCACAACACTGAGACTGCTCTCGTTAAGGTTACAAACGATAACACTGACGCAGGCAAAGTCTCAATCTTAATCTTGTTAGATCTGAGTGCTGCCTTTGACACTGTCGACCATGAGATCCTCTTACAGAGATTAGAGGATTGGGTTGGCGTCGCTGGCACCGCCCTAAGTTGGTTTAGGTCTTATCTTTAAGACAGGAAGTACTTTGTGGAGATTGAAAACTGTGTCTCAGATCATATGGCCCTGACCTGTGGAATACCACAGGGGTCGATCCTGGGACCTCTTCTGTTCAATCTCTACATGCTGCCGTTAGGTCAGTTAATACGCAGAAACAAAGTGTCCTATCACAACTATGCAGACGACACTCAGATCTATGTCTCACTGTCTGCAGGAGAACATGGACTAGTGGACTCACTCCTTCACTGTATCCAACAGATCAGTGAGTGGATGAAAAACAACTTCCTTCAGCTAAACGCAGACAAAGAGAGAGCGTCATCTGTCACCTTTAAGGGAGAGACTCTCTCCCTAAAACCTTCAAACAAGGTCAGAAATCTAGGGGTAATATTGGACTCAGACTTAAATTTTAATAGCCACATTAAATCAGTAACATCAGCAGCTTTTTACCATCTAAAAAACATTGCCAGGATCAAAAACATAGTGTCTAAAGCAGACTTGGAGATTCTTATCCATGCATTTGTCTCCAGTAGGTTAGACTACTGCAATGCCCTGCTCACAGGTCTGTCCAAACAGGCTGTAAAACAGCTGCAGTACATTCAAAATGCAGCAGCTCGAGTCCTGACAAGAACCAGGAAGTACGACCACATTAGTCCAGTTCTCAGGTCTCTGCACTGGCTTCCTGTGGCTCAGAGAATAGACTTTAAAACAGCTCTGCTTGTGTACAAGTCTCTCCATGGCCTCGCACCAAAATACATTAGTGACATTTTAGTACCATATGAACCAGCCCGGACTCTGAGGAGCACAGGGACTGGACTCCTGTTAGTGCCCAGAGTCAGAACTAAACATGGGGAGGCTGCTTTTCAGATTCATGCTGCTAAAATCTGGAAGAGTCTTCCTGAAGATGTGAGACAGGCCTCCTCTCTGACAATGTTTAAAACCAGGTTAAAGACAGTTCTGTTTGGCTGTGCATACAACTGAGGGATATTATATTTTTATCTTTCTTTTTAATGTTCTGTGATTATTTATGATTTTAATGCTTTCTTATTTTGTTCAGCACTTTGAATTGCCTTGTGTATGAATTGTGCTACGTATATAAATAAACTTGCCTTGCCTTGCCTATTTGATCTATTGTTAAGTATACTCCATAGATCTACACATTGTTTGAATATGTATTTGTGTTTATTAGTGTTAAAATTAGAAATTAATATTTTGAATTAAAATTATAGTTTTTAGTAGTTTAGAGGCACACTCACCTGTGGCCTGTAAGGCTATGTTTTTCCTGTTTGTTTGTGGGTTGTTTCAGCATTCAGGGGGACAGATAAACAGAACTCGGGAAGGACTCTAAAGCAAATCTTTTGTGTAAAAACTTTTGTTTAAAATAATCAAGTTTAAAAACTTGATTGAGATTGTTCAATAATAGTTTAACTCACGTAACAGATTTGAATGTCTCACTCTATGTACATTATTCATGTGGTTAATTGTTGATAAATGTGAAGTGACAATTCTATATAATGACTTGGCATGTAAATTTCATGTTGTGTAATGAGTGATCAAAGTATAATGCCATATAATGTAAATACAGCAGCCAAGTCTAAACCTGTGTGTCTGAGACAGCACTCTGCTAAGGGAGATACATCCACTAAAAAATATGCATTTTGTCAAAGTAAATTATACCGTCAACAGCACAGCAAAATTATGTTTACTCTGGCAAATGGTACAGCAGTGATGTAGGCTGATAATCGTCTTTTCATTAGACAATTTAAGAAGTTACCATTCACATCTGCAACACCTTGTCACTTGACAAAGATCCCAAACATGGCACCAAGAACCTAATCAAGATAAAGAATAGTAACTGACAACTTTTCCTTCATAAAGGAAAATAAAAACTGTACCAATCGTCTCCACAATATGAAGGAAATCTACTGCCATCTTGTGGACTTCTCACTCAAATCCATGTTGAGAATTTCAACATGGTAGATAGAACGTTCTAAAAAAATCTGGACTTTCCTTTGTCAACAGCGATAAGTGAAGCTTACAGCAGAAGCTATGCCTAAATATTCACAAATTTAAACTCTTATACAAAAGTGCAGTGTGGTTAGAATACAGAGTTAGTGGAATACTTAGATAGTTTGTTGTATTGCAGTTGTCCGTATCAGTTCTTGTGTTGTTTTTGATGTTTCTTACTTTCGTTGTTCGTTGCATTACCAAATTCACCGTTACTTTGTTGAGGTTTCTTTCTACGTTTTGAAGAGTCTCTTTTGAAAACATTGTTATTGTTGTCATCTTCCTCTTCTTCTCCATCCTTAACTTCAGCATCTTTATCTAGTTAAAATAATTGTCTTAATCAATCAATAAATTTATAAATTGTAACAGCGAAGTCATTCACGTTAGCTCACCCGTTTCTTGTTTCCCTCGTCTATTCTTCTTTGTCTTCTTGGATGCCCCTTTTTTAGAGGTACTTTTCACTTTGATTCCATTAATTTCAGCAACATTATTATCATCATTATTAGTTTGCTCACATTTTGGATCTGTGGAATTAACCTTTTTCATTTTTAGCTTTAGTTCGCATAGTTCAGTATTTGTCAAGCTTACCCTCATTGCGGTCAATATCTGTGTGATTTGAACTGCGACTTTTCTTTTTAGACTTTTTTGACTTTGTTGACCTCTTGTCAACACCTTCTTCACATATGTCTTCCTCTTCATAACCGTCCACCTTATTTGACTCTGCAGCAAGATAAATTAATTTGTCAGGTTCTTTTCAGATCAAATCAGTTCTTAATTGTCGTACCAGACTCATGGCTTCTATGTTGGATCTTATTTGACCTCCTGCTCGCAGATTTCTTTGATTGACTTTGGCAGACTTTCACTGTTTCACCATCTGGGTTATCTTCAGGACAGTATTTTTCTGAAACAAACATTCATTTTGAACATACATAGACGAATGCTTACATTTTACACATGTATTTCATATCGTCTGTGTACTGGGTGCAGCTCTGACTGCCACCCCCCCGACCCAGAAATGGATTAAGGGGAAGAAAATGGATGGATGGATGGATTTCATATCGTCATTTTTATTTGTTTTACCTGTTTCCTCATGTTCGGATTCTGTCTCTGATCCGGATTGTGTGTCTGATTGTGTCTCTGATTCTGAGTCTGATTGTGTCTCAGATTGTGTCCCTGATTCTGATTCAGATTCTTCACTGCTCTGTGAATATTGGTAGCTTGAGTCAACTTCATCGTCGTAAAATTCCCCATTGATACCTGTGGTGAAAATACACATTGCATAAAAAAATAAAAAAGTCGAACTGTATTTTGTATTGAAAAAATATTTGTGTGTATATCCCGGATCTGAAGGTCTGAAACTGTCAGCATGCAACAAATTCAAGGATTTGTTTTCCCAGTTACAGCATGTCATAGATAGCAATTATTCAAAGTTAAAACAACTATAAAAAGATGCACATTTTGGGATGCGTTTATACTGTTACTCGAAGAAACTGGATGGAATGGAAGATTTCTTGAGCAGCATTTAGATTTTTGATATCTTAAAATAATCATTGTGATGTAAAATTTGGTGTGAGTATTGAATATTGTTGATTCCAAAACCAACATAATCAAAGTGATTGCAAAGAGACGACAGTGATAGCACCATGCAGTGGTTTTACAGTGCGTGCACCTGTTTCCTGGTCAGATTGGTCTTGACTTGTGGTTTTCCAGTTGTTTTCTCCAGTCTCATCTGTCCTGCTGGCGGAACCTTCTCGGAGAATTCTGGTCTTTGATTTCTTTTTGTTCTTGCTGTGCCGTGTCTGACCAGTCGTTGCTTCTGTTCCATTTGTATCTGCCAGAGTAACACTCGGCCGGCGACCATCTTTTATTTTTCTGGATGGTTTATTTTCTCTATTCCGCTTCTCCACGAGTTGTTTTTCCTTCACAGCAGCTAAAATTCTCTCCATTTCTTTTTGATTTTTAATTTCTTGCTCTTTTGCCACTTTTTCAATATCAATATTCGATCCTCCTGCCACAGTGGATTTTCTCGGTTTCACCTTTACAGCAGGGTCCTTGTCAACTAAAACAATTAAGTGAAGACACGTTTGAATGTAATTACAACAATAAGTTTACATATACTTAAAAAAGGTATTACATTTCTGATTTTGTAGTATGTGACAAAGATTTAATAATAATAATAATAATAACAATAATGCATTGGTTTTATTTAGTGCTTTTCAGTCACTCAGGAGAAGCTTCACATGTTATTATTCATTCGCTCCATAAGTTACTACGGTAACCACATCTGCCCTGGGGCACACCGACATAAGCGAGGCAACCAGTATGTGCCATCGGCCTGCACACAACAGACATTCTAAGCAATGGATAGAAATAATGTTGGTGAAAACAAATGTAGGTTAGAAAAGAATATGTATTGTCTTCTTTAGATGTGTAATTGTCCTGTTTCTACCGTATAGTTTATAGAAAATGTTGGTGTGAAAACCTTACCCTCCACATCCAGCAAAGCGCTACAAGACATGGGACCAGCTTCAACAGAATAGATTCCTTTATCTTGATGCGTGCAGTCTCTTATCAGCAGTCTGTGGATGAGTTTATGGTCGGATACGCTTATGCTGTACTTGTCACTCTCCTCCACAACACAGTTTTTCTCCATCCAAGTGACTTTGGGTAGCGGCTGTGTCAGGACGCATTCAAACAGAGCATCTTCTCTCTCCTGCGCCTTAACCTCTTGAATTTTTATTACAAAATCTACACTGGAAACTGGAATCACAAAAACAAAATTAGATTGTTGGCCAATTCCCACCAGAGGCTAATATTGGTTTTGATAATTCGTATAACCAATACACCTTTTAAGGAAGGGCAGCACAAACTGACTTTAGAATAATTATAATGTTTTAATGGGTGAAAATAATTGTGACAGATATTTATTAAAAATGTGTTATGAATGAAAATGCTTTGTCGAGCAAATGTCACTGCATAATATGTTGCTGATTTTTCATGAATAAGAAAAAACCCCGTATGAACCCCTTTCTATTCAATACTCTCATAGAAGTCTGCCTGTGACTTTTTTCCAAATCCATTACCAAAACCTTTCACTATTGACATATGACCTACCTAATTGTTTGGTTGACAAGGGTCCATCGTCCTCAGAGTAAAGCTCGGTATGCTCTTTCCCAAATGGGTTCGTGCTAGTGTTCTTTGATTTCCGTCTGATTCCAGGACTGAGGCTCTGTGAACTTTCTTCGCCAGAGGATATCTCACTTCTCTGTGAACACACACACACGAGTTAAAGCCATGATCACTTTCAAAACTCAACTCAAACTATGGCTCAGAACAAACCAGTCATGTGACCAATAGACTTAAACATTTCTTTGTGCTGCATGTTGTAATGTATGTATTACTCTGCCCAGGGACTATGAATAAAAACAAGCCTTGTAGCTATAATCTGACATATTTACATTTGTTTTATACTGATGTCCATTAATGTGAATTGTCCCTATCAAATAAACAAATAGACAAAACAATGGTATACATTACACTGGATGTCATATTCCATAGCTCAATGTTTGACAGTTCAATGCTATATAAATAATATGATGGCTAATGATGATAACAGGGTACTTGTTTCAATAGGAGGATAAGATGCACAAAGATTTTCAGATACAGTGCTTTCTGTCTTTGTTTGCAGAGCTAGAAATCTGGTCTTTTATATATTCAATTTCAATGTATTCTTGTATAGCCCTAAATCCCAACAGTGGTGAGGACTTAACAAAACCGTTGAAATCGCCTACACAGATCAGAGAATCAAACAGTTCAAACACAAAAAATATAGAACACATTGGTCCATATGGGGAGTTGACCAATGTCCATGATGTCCGTGAATGTTGATAAATGTCCATAAATGTTGTAGAATGTTGTGAGTCCTGGATCACCACCACAGTCCTTTTTGTTAGACCCACTAACAGTCTAACAGACCCTCCTGCATATAACAATGCAAGATGTTTATTATTGCAGCTGACCCACCTTTTGGGATATTTCTCTTTGCTTTTCTTCCAGTCTTCTGACAATGAGATGGAGATCTTTAACACCAAAATCGTCGCAGATTTTTGCGTAGTCTTTTTTGTCGGCTTTAAGCATAGCATTCCAGAACCGGTTTTCCTCTGCTTCATCATTTTCCACTTCGTCATCGTTCAGCTTTCTAAGATGAGGAAGTGGGGATTTGATAAAGATAAAAATGTTATGTATTGCACAACTGCTGTCTTACGTTTTCCTCAGCATCTTTCTGAAGTCCGAAGGATTTGTCATAACTGCAAAATATAATTCACATTATTGAAACAAAGTAGAACTTTACTCTTTAGTTTAGACATTTTTAATAAGTGTCTTTGTATTACCCTCAGTCAGATTTAGAGCGACTGTGCATGCGGCTTTACCAAATTCATTTGAAGCTGTACATTTGTAGGTATCAGCATCATCAGCAGTGACTTTAAAAATCTAAAAAGAAAAACAGATAAAATATATTTAAGCACAGTTTTCAGAGCATCATTATAGGAAATTACTTAATTTGGTAAACATACCTTCAATATATGTTCCCTTGTGACTTCATTATATTTCTTTTGATTTTTTTCCTTATCTGAAATATGTCCTTTAATTCTCGTCCATGTTACCTCCGGTTTGGGTTCTCCTACAACTATAGCTTTAAAAACAGCCACTTTGCCTGCAACAAAATATTACATTGTTTTTTTGTTCTTGTGGTAATAATAAGATAAAATAATAACAAATTATTTAGAAACATGCATGACCTTCTTTAGTGTTTACAGGTTCTGGTTTACATTGAAAATCAGGGTGAGATTTTCCCTCTGGCAAATGTGGTACATATTGCGTGATTGTCACTCCAGGAATCTTGGATCGTCTTCGAATGGTAGCTTAAAAACAACAACGTTTGCCAATTTTATTACAGAAAGTAGCTATTACCATGGTTTGCCAGCAGGTGTCAGGCATGTTTACACAAGAGAGATGACTTATTCATGGGGTACTTTGCTGTCAATGCCTTAATTACAAGATTTAAACAAAAAACATAAACACATGCTGTGGACAGAAGTAATAAAATATATTGACCTTTTTATTATATCAGCAATCTTTAAGATCATTTTCTATTGCATTGAAGAGTTAGTAATAATACCTTAGATATTATATATTTGGCCTGTTTCATTAAATTAAACTATTGACAAAAAGCATAAAAGAAATGTTCGGATGGTTAGACCGATGATGATGACGTCCTGGGTTAACAATAATCAAACAAAAGGCCAAAATGAAATGTTTTACCTGATTTATTTCCTGACACTTCATTAAAGTGTTGTATGTATCGATGAACAATCGAGAAACCTGCAGAATAAAATGGATTTACAGAACTATAGCTGCTCGCAGGGTTCCACAACTACAGTAGATTAGTCTTTTGGTCTTGGATCTGAAAGGCCATATGTTGCATTTACCCTAATCAATATTTGTCAGAGATTGTCGCAACAACTTAGAACAAAGTCAGAAAAATCATGTTTAAGACTTTGAACTTTATGGCATTTTTTCATTTTGGATGTG